CGGCTTCAGCGTCTATTTTATAGTGTAGGGGGCGGGCGCTTCGGATTCTAGAGAGCATCTGATTGGACAGAAAGTTTGATGAGAAGCTGAAGTACGATGTGACGTCAAAAAAATCGTTGAGCCGTTTTGGCGGAAGTGAGGAACTGCAAGCTTTGAATGCTTATATCTTCTAAATGCAAATTTTGTCACTGTTTTGGAGCACACTGCCTTATAGATAACCTTAAGACTGACATATTGATACTAACACCCAAAAAACTTTAATTTTGATTTCATGGGGACTTTAAAGCACAACCAAAGATTATTAAAACAGAATTAATTAAATTGTGCATTAAAGTAAAACTTTTTAAAACTCTCTGCTTATACACTGGTGCTCTTGTGCATATGGTGTCATTAAAGTGATTTGATTTGTCTGATTTGCTCTCCATTAGTTCACTGGTCCTCTAACCAATCGTTGTTTGACTGCCAGTGGATAGTGTGATGTGCGTGCAAACACAAACTGCAGTTTGATTAGTACAGCATGACAGTTTTAGTTTCACCGTCCTCAGCTGTTTGTGTGTGTGTCACAGAATCGTGGGTAGGAAACACTCAGCTGTATTTAAGCAGGCAAAGTTCCTCATCTTGGAATAATCAAAGGCTCACGGCTCAAGACTCTTCTGAGCTTTCCTCACAGCAGCTGCTTTCTCTGACAACAGTCAGCCTAAATCTATATTCCACAGTCACAGGACAGGTAGGCTACTTTTCATTATTTCAATACACAGTGAGTCCAGTGTTTGGACACTTGATCATAAAAAAAAAAAAAAATAAAAAAAAAAAATATATATATATATATATATATATATATATACACACACAACATAATTTATGTAGACTACTTTTTTATACATTTATAATTTGCTGCAAAAAATTGCTAATTATTCACTGCAAAAATTCTTCAGAAAAGAAAAGTACATTCTGAGAAAAACTCAGACTACAGAATACAAACTGAGAAAAGCATCATTTTTGTTTGCAGATGCCACTTGGTTACATTGTTATCTAATGATTCAATTAAATTCTAATGAATGATCAATGAAATTCATATAATAAAATAATTAGTTTTGTGCAGTATAAATACTGTATACTGACAAAAAAAAAAAAAAAATTTCACGAACTGCAGTGTAGATACAGCAGTGATGCAGTTAATGTCCTCTCTGATGTTGTGTGGTTGCAGGAGATGTGCACCGGTCACTGCTCCAGGTCTGTGGGAATGGCTCTGATCCCTACAGCCATCGTCTGCATGCTGGCAAATGCACTGCTGCTGTTTCCTGATCTGAAGTATCAGTACCTGACAGAGAATCATGTGACCAGAGAGGCCATGTGGTGCTCTGGGATCTGGGCATCAGGGCTTCTGGTGAGCTTTTCTGCTCTTTTATGAGATCTGATACTAATCGATAACATGATAAAGGCATTTTGAGTATATATTAACAACAAGTACAGAAAATGTATAAAAAAATGTGCATATTATTATTGTTAGAATATAGTATATGTATTTATATATACTATAAATAAGTATATTATTATTATTATTAATAAATGATTATATTGATAGTTACTTCTTATTTCTTATTATAATTTTTTGAAAATGAAGTAATAAATAATGTATTATAATTGTTATATCCAATAAAATTATGTATATTATATTTAATAGCATATAGACAGAATATATTACAGAATAAAAATGTAATATATAATAAAAAAAAAATATATATATATAATTTATTAAATAAGATATATATTTTACATTTATTAATATACGTATGTGTTATACATATTATTTTATTATTATTATTTTTAGGGCTGTCAGTAGGGCTTTACTAGAACAATTGCACATGATGTAATTGTCATAAATGTTGTGTTTTGTCAGGTGCTTGTGGCCGCGCGAGGCTTTACGACACACTACGAAAAGAAAAGATGCTGTTATTTTACTGCTGAGGTAAGAGAATTGTATTTTGTGGATTTGTTTTGGATTTTCTTCATAACCATTATCATCAGTTGAACAATAATTGATTAACACAATGAAGCTTTGAACAAATATCCTGTCCTAATGATGCCACATCATGGAACAAAATGTTTTGGGAATTTCTAGCCATTTTTGGGAGCTATCCTGTAAACAGTTTTTTTGTGGTTTTTCCAGGTTTTGCGTAAGTTGGGCTATGCATGTTTGGTCATTCTGGCAGCTGGCTTGTGTTTCGTGGTGAGCGGGACGGGGCTGGCTCTGGGACCCCTCTGTTTACACAACAGCACTGACGGTCTAAAGTGGGGACGGCCATTAAAACAAGTCAAAACTGGGTGAGTAAGAACTCACATCGTTCTATTCCTTCACTATTTTTTACAAAGAACTAACTATCAGTCATCCATTAGGCAAAATCCCCAACATTAGTATAGTTTTGTTTCACTAAGAAATTTAACCTGATGTGTCCAACAGACTTTTGTAACCTCACCAATCAAACATTAAGACATTAAACAATAAAAAGCTGCATTAAAGTGATTTTACATCAGTTAAAGACCATGAAGTTGGCTTTGAGGTTGTGTTCTGTCAAGTTAAATTAGTCATGCTATGTAGTGTTAATGTGTGTTATTCTTTTTGCTTTGTGTTCAGTGCACTCAAGCATATTGATATTATATGTAAATAACTTATGCTCATGTTCATCTGTGTCTGTTAACGCAGAGAGAAGCTTTACCTCTATGCTCCGGAGCGGTGGCCATCCGCCTGTGTGGAGCCTCGAGGTGTTGTGATCTGGAATATGGTTCTTTTCTCCGTCCTCATGGTAGCGAGTGGCCTAGAGCTCGTTTTCTGCGTTCTTCATCTCCTCACCGCCTTACTGGAGTTCATGTGTGGACCGAAATTCTGCAAGAATAAGGTAGAGATGTTTACAAAGAGCCTTCCCTCGTGAAAAATACACTTTATTGAATTCACTGTGCACTTGTAGCGTACTTCAAATCTTAAAAGATTTGAGATAATATAATATTAATGAAATAAAAGGCCACTTAAAGAGAGTACACCTTCATGACTGCTTTTTTAACACACTTAAGTGAACTCTGTAATATTGTCAAATTAAAATGTTAAATCATCATGTTTATTAATCTTGCCATGTTTTATAGAAGTGCACTTATTTCGATGTGTTGACTAACATGCTAAAGCACATGATTGAAATTTTTAACTGTAGTGTGTTAACTTCTATAACATTTAAAGTTAATATATTTTAAATATACTATACTCTATCATTACAAAAGTGTCATTTCAAATATTTGTTAATACATGCATTAGATGTTTCAATAGAAATTGCATATATAAATTGCTTGTAACGTATATAAATACTACATTTAGCAGTATGCTTTAACCATATTTCAGTAATGAATTTATATGTAAAGATGTACTTAAGTATCACTTAAATGGGTCAAAAATCCACTCTAAAGTTCAGCAAATTGCATTTTTGCATTTATAAAGCAATTTAAAAGAAATCTACTTTTCTCTCTTTTTAGGTTGTTCCTGCTTGAAATGACTAGAGGTTCTATTATTTTCATCTCCATGTGAGAATGAGAATGCCATTGTTGGGTTAAACAGTCAGCTCTGACTGCTTAACTTATTTTAAACGGAGAGGAAATAATAGAAATGGGAAGTGGACCAGGAAAGCCAGTTCTCATGTCCCTGAAGTGTTTTACTGCACTGTCACCACACACACGTCCAGTCTTCCTGAAGTGCAGCTGCTTGAGAGTGATACTCGTGATGGTAAACTTTGAATCACTCTGAATAACCTACTAAACTCACAAATACAAATAAGCTGTTTAAAATATTCTTTATTGTAATATATATTCAGAATGCACTTTAGTATTTATGCATTGTATAGTAATGCGTGTAATTTAATGTATGATGTATGTATGTGAGAAAATACTGTGATTATATAGTTTTGTTGATAATGAAATGCTGTGTTAATAGATGTTATTTTTATTGTTTGATTTCTACTAGATGAAAAAACTAATTGTATGAACACTTCATTGTGTAAAGGAAAGCATTATTTACTAAATCCCACTAAACTAAAGTTATTTTAATGAAATATACAAGCAGCACACTTGTCAAGAAAAATGCATTTATCCTAATGGCCACAAGAGGGAGAAAATTATATTTCTTCTCCATCTTTACTCTCCTATCAATATGTTTGTTAACAGAAAATAGTATTTACTTTAATTCAAAATTTTGAAATTGATTATTTCTCATACTTTTTATTATTATTAATAAATTAAGAACTAAAATAATTTTATTCATCGGGGATACATGAAATTGATGAAAAGTGACAGTAATGATTTACGAATGACATGGACACATATTGTTACAAAATATTTCTATTTCAAATAAATGCTGTTCTTTTGAACTTTCTATTCTTCAAAGAATCCTAGAAAAAATGAATCACAATCTCCAAAATATGAAGCAGCATAACTGTTTTCAACACTAATAATAATAATAAATAATGTTTATGAGCAGCAAATCAGCATATTAGAATGATTTCTGAAGGATCATGTGAGACTGGAGGAATGATGCTGAAAATTCAGATTTGCATCACTGGAATAAATTCCATTTTCATAGATATTCACATAGAAAACATCTATTTTAGATCTAATAATATTTCTCTAAATTGAGTGCAGATAAATGCTGCCTTGGAGACTTCTTTTAAAAATTGTAGGGTATCAGACCGAATCAGACAATCTAAGATTTGGTCAAAACATGGTTGGAACATGAGGAGCCAAATTCCACAGAGACCCAAGACACAGGATGTTCGTAAATCAGATCTTGGCCCCACAAGCCTGAACCAACTAGCAGCTTTGAGTAGCTCACAGCATTTAAACAAAAGAACACTTATTGACAATTCCAAGGAGATTGTCAATTTTAGGGCAAGTAATCAAGATTAAATGGTCAAAGAGATGACCGCATGACCATCACGTGATAGTAACTACAATCACGAGCTCTTTGGAATTGACTTCCCCCACCTCAACCACAGAGAACAAAAAAAATCTTACCAACCCCAAACATTCGAACATTTATTTTTGTGTATGATTTATTATTATTTTATTTTATTTTATTTTTGTATGGTGACTGTACCGCGTATGCCCTGTTTTCAGTGGTTTTGGTACTGTCATGTTTGCCCCATTGTATGACCTAGTTTCTAGTTTGATTGTTGTATTCAGTTCACCTGTGTTCTATTAATTATCCCAATCGTCCCCTTTGTTTGGTCATGTACTTAATTCATCAGTTCTCCCTCCGTGTTTGTCAGTTCTCGTTTATATTGGCGTGCAATTCATTCCTGTCTCCAGTATCAGTACCTCGTGTGCAAATAATTTTATTTATTATTCTTATTAAAAATAATACAATTGGCAGCGCCTGTAATTACGAGCAATGGAAGTGTTCATTATCATTCCACTTACTGTCCTCAAACTGTGTATTGAAGTATTTCATGGTGTGTTCACAGCTTTAAAAGACATTACACAAAAACATAACATTTGAATTTATGAAGTCTTGACAACAAAAAAGGTATTGAACTTTTCCACTGTTATTAGGCCTATGTCTCAAACAGAATTTGCACAGTGGTTTTCCGGAAACAGCAGACTTAAAATTACTTTGAGTTGAGGGAATCCCTGCTATGGGCTCTCAGGATGTAATTCATACATTTAGTCTGTCTTATTTGTCTTCCCTACTTCCTCTTTTCCCTCGTATTGTTTCTCCCTGCTGGCGTCTCCTCTGTCACAGCTTGCCACTTTTCCTCTCGTTCTTTAAACTTGCTCTGTTTGGACCAGTGTTGGGGTAACGCATTACAAGTAACACGAGTTACGTTATCAGATTACTTTTTTCAAGTAACTAGTAAAGTAACGCATTACTTTTTAATTTACAAGAGAATATCTGAGTTACTTTTTCAAATAAGTAACGCAAGTTACTTTTTTTTCCAATTTATTGATTGACAGCTCTGGTGTCGCCATGGTGACAGAAATCAGATGATGTTACTGTAGTTCTAAAATCCAGATTTAAAAAGTAATGCAAAAATAACGTAACACATTACTTTCCATAAAAAGTAACTAAGTAACGTAATTAGTTACTTTTTTATGGAGTAACGCATTACTTTTAAAAGTAACTTTCCCCAACACTGGTTTGGAAACCCAACTATTCACAGCTAAAACCCTGTCCCTTCAACACAATGACTCCGAGTGGATTGTTTTTTTTGTTGTTGTTGTTTTTTTGGTTTTTTTTGGAAGGAGAAAAGCACAGGAAGGGTAAACGTGCAGCCTTTCACGTGCATCAGAGAACTTCAGCAATCTGATCGTGCTAAAACAGTTCAGTCAGCATGAGATGCTTAAAGTGCCCCTATTATGGATTTTTGAAAATTACCTTTCATGCAGTGTGTAACACAGCATTAAGTGAATGAAAACATCCTGCAAAGTTTTAAATCTGAAAGTGCACCGTGTATAAAGTTGTCTTTCAAAAGAGAGAGTCGACTCTGAGTCATGAAAACGAGTCGTTTTTAAAACAAATCTTTAGCTGTTTCAATTTGACGTCAAAATGAAACATTAGCATATTTGTGCCCACCCACTTGTTGCGCGCACAGACCCGGAAAAACTTGAACCTCCCCTCCCTCAAACACCGTAGCGGATTCCTATGGAGAAGACCTGTGAAGGTAAATCTGTTAGGGTACAGTTAGGGTATGTAAAAAAAAAACTCCCAACTCATTTTCTCCTCCAACTTCAAAATGATCCTTCATCGCTGCAGAAGCGCCGACCCAGTGTTTACAAAGTGAACGTGCAAGGAGGGTCAAACACCCTTTACAAAAAAAGAAAAAAGGTAAAACAACGATTTTGAAGTTGAAAGAGAAAAGTATTGGGAGTTTTTAGACATACCCTGTCTTGAACCGTTGTACACAGAGTATGCATGCGCCTCGCAGAGCTAGACAAGACGAGCATTTGTGGTTAAAAAGTGTATAATTGTTTTTTTTAAGAAAATGACCAATTGTTTAATTTGCTATATAAGTTGCGACTGATAAATTATTTGCGACTGAAGAAAGGGAGACATGAACATCTTGGATGACATGCTGATTCAGAAGTGCCAGATTGTCATAGCAAAGTCGGAATTTACCATTTTTTTTGTAACATTTTTGTGCACAGCCAGCCTTGTCCTCTTCTAGGTTCAAAAAACTATCGTCCATAAAATGCGTTGCACAAATTCGAACATCTGGGTTGTGCTGTTCTGTTGTAAATAAATCTTAACCAATGATTCCTAATTGCATCTACTTCCGGAATGCCAAATAAAGTGCTTTTGCTTTCGCACTGAATCACACAGCGTCTCCCTGACATGGCTGCATCAACACTACTGCTTTTAGGTAGGCGTGGTTGACTCTTAACTTTTATAAAGAATATCTCTTTGGATTTGAGACTTTAGTTTTTGCAACTTTACAGATCTTCTTTATGCACCAAGAGCTTGTAACACTCCAAAGAGAAAGGAAAACTTGAAATCACATCATATGACCCCTTTAAAAACTGTTGCTGTCATGTACTTTGTACTGTAGCATGCAAAATATGTATTTAGTTGTGTGTGTTGTGTTCGCTCCGTGCAGCTTGTAGGTCTTCGTCTAACCAGCTAACAGCAATATCTGTTTTTCAATTGTCTAGAAATGTGTTGATGAATAGTGAATGTTTGTCGTTGTTATTACTTGTAGTTCTGATAAAGAATAGAGCAATGCGTTGGTGTACAAACTGCAGTGCTTTATCAATATGTTTCTGCATTGGGCTAACACATATACCATGGCTGTTTGGGTGTTTACCAGCGAGCTGTGGGTGATGGGTGATGGGCGTTCTGCTATTGACATGCGCTGCACGCAGTAGACCAATCACTACAGACTGGGTCATCAGACCAATCACCGCAGTTAGCGTCACGCAAAGGAGGGGTTTGGAAAAATGAATCGTTAAACAAATCGTTTGGGAGTCGTTGAGCAAAAAGGAAAAAAATAAAGGCATATTTTAAGACAATGAAAGTGTTTTTTGACCTTGCATGCATGTCAACCTGTTGTTGAGGACTCCCAAAACCAAAATATGAACCTTTCATTACCCATAATAGGGGCACTTTAAAGGAAGAGTTCATCCAAAAATGAACATTTGTTGAAAATGCTCTCACCCTCAGGCCATCCAAGATTAGGATGAGTTTGTTTCTTCATCAGATTTGGAGAAATAGCATCACATCACTTGCTCACCAATGGATCCTCTGCAGTGAATAGGTGCTGTCAGAATGAGAGATAAAAACATCACAATCCACACCACTCCAGTCTATCAATTAATGTCTTGTGAAGAGAAAAGCTGCGTGTTTGTAAGAAACAAATCCATTAAGACATTTTTTAACTTCAAACTGTTGATTCTAGCTAAAATACGAGTTTGTGATCCATAATAACGCTTCATCCAGAGAAAAACTCCATCTCCTGTTGTCTCTCACATCAAAATCCACCAACATATTTGTTTAGAGCTGTTTT